AAAGCAGGTTCTTTAATTAACCTTGTTCTCCGACCTTTAAGTGGAGAGAGAGGGGAAAAGAGGTGACAAATGAGGCCAATTAGCACAGAAGGAATTATTTGATTTCTCTCAGCTAAATGGCCACTTTTCATGTCTTTGGTTGGAGAACCGCGAGCTGCCGTTGACCTCGTGCACTCGGGCGCCACGAGGCGTCCTCAGGCTGCTGCTTGTTTCCTGTTGTCTGCCGCCACATTCTGACTGCGCATAAATAATAAAGCCTTTGTGGCTGAAATATCTGAAATGGTGATTTGTCAACACCAACACAAGGCTTGGAGGGAGCGTCATGGCCGCCGTCAGCGTCTGACAGACACCGATGAGGAGCGAGTGTGAGCCTGCTGCTGTCTGATTAGTGCCTCCTGTCCCTCCTCTCTGTATGATTACATAACAGGAGGATGTGCAGGAAAAAATAAAAAGATGTGTGTGTGTGTGTGTGTGTGTGTGTGTGTGTGTGTGTGTGTGTGTGTGTGTGTTGTGTGTGTGTGTGTGTGTGTTGTGTGTGTGTGTACAGTATGTGAGCAGGGGTTCGTGCATCGTCTGGCTCAGCGTGACCTAGAAACGTCCGGCAGTCTCTCAAGGCTTCATTAGGGCATAACCACAAGTTCAGAATCCATAACCTTCATATTATCACCCTGCTCCCTCTCCTCTGTCGGTTTGTGTGTTTTTCTTTTTCTTTTTTTTTTTTACATATTGTCGCACAAAGTTTTATTTTTTCTGTCACATCTACATTCCTCCCCTCGCTCTCCGTCTGTCTTGTTTATAGAGTTGGTTGTTTTCTCCAGATTTCTTTTAAAATTCTGAGTTCTTTAATCCAGAAACACGTGGGTCTTGTGGGTTATTATAGACACATGTGCCGCTAGATATAGTTGTTTTAACCATTTACATCATTTCCTGTTTGCAGATTGCTGTAAATACCTGAAACGTACCAGTGTTGAATGCTATCATTTAACACCTGTTGCACATTCTGGCTGTACCTGCAAGAAAACAATCCTCTGTTAAGTCCAAACTCACAGCAGCTCAAGCACACCAGCTCACCTGCAGCTCTGTAAAAGGACTTTATGCAACACAAGCACACAAGTTTTAACTGATGCCGAATCCTGACACAGAAAGCCTGCAAGTTTATTAATCTTTTTTTTTTCATCAATTCACTGCAGTTTCAAGGTAAAAAAGCTCAGCCGTGGCACCGACTGATTATTTCTCTCACAATGTGTCTTTCAGCAAGTAAAAGGCACGACATGGACGCGTTAATAAGCTCTAAAACCTTGACTTTACCACAGGGGGGGTCTTTAAGTGTTCAGCGGCCATATTGTGCTCATTAGAGGACAAAATAAAAGTGTTGCTGTTTTTCTAGTTGACACACATCAGTTTGAGGCGACTGAGCTTATTCTGACCAGAGCTGACGTGTATGAAGACGTCTCCTAATCCTAACCTTCAGAGTTACACAAGACAAAGTCTGCTGATGTTCAGAAAAAGCCACCGTGTGCTGCCAGTGTGAGCTGACCCGAGGTCAGTTCGTGGTGAAATTCAGAGCTTCTGTGTTGCAACTAAAACAAAATATTGCACCAGAGTTGCTGAACTTACTGAAGCACAGCGGGGGGTTTCTCCAAAGGTAGGTGGAGAGAGGAGAAAGAGTTCAAGAGGTCAGAATCCCACCAGCTTCATCTTGTAATGGAGCCATCATCATTATCCACTCCGAGAGGAGACTAATTTAAACTGATGAATGTTTTATCAGGTGTCTTTAGCGTCCGCTGGATGAGAGCAGGATTCCATCTGAAGTCGTGTTGACGCGTGTTTTGTTCTCGCGTTTGTCACTTTGACTTTCTAATCACAGCAGAAGCAGGTATTTTCTCCTTTCAGCCGGCAGAGTGTCGCTCCTATCTGAGTGCAGCACCAGTTATCTAACATTGTCTCTGCAGAAAATGAACAGGACTTTCACCGCCCGAACTCTACAGTAGGAGCCTGAAATACCTCCTCCCACTTTGCAACTCTATAACAGCGATAAGGGAAGCGGTGAAGGATACGTTATCAGGTTCTACACGCAGGACCACTGCAGCATTTCACCACTTCCCTCTCGCTTGCACTTCCCCCCTGTTTCGTTTTTTTTTGTGTCCTTTGCCGAGTCCCGCCTCATAACCTCTCCTCCTCTCTTCCCACTCCTCTGGTGTTCTCTCATCCTTCTCTCCCCCCTGCTGCATCCTCTCCCCCATCTCTCCCTCTCTTCCCCTCCTCCCCACATGTCTGTCTGTTCGAAACTGGAGCAACGTCTTAATCGAGGCTGTGGGACGTGACGGGAATTTCTAAGCGAGCCCGGCTCTGCAGTACAGACGCAAACACACACACACACACTCACACACACACTCTGCTCGGCAGCCAATTAACAACCTGCGATCCAGCGCCAAAGGAATAACTGCATGTTGATGAGCTGCGTGTGTGTGTGTGTGTGTGTGTGTGTTTGCGATGAGCTGGTGGCCGTCAGAACCACTTACACAGATAGAAGGATATCTCTTTTATGTGTTCAAGGGAAAGAGGGGGGATTATGGCGCATTAAAAACCATCTCCGTGAGGGACAAACTAAGACAGGAACAAGGAAGTGTGAATTTGTGCCCGAGATTCTCTTTCTGTGTGTGTGTGTGTTTGATGCACTTTCAGGATGTGTGTGTGTGTGTGTGTGTTACGAGAACAATGCAGATGATTTACTTGGAGCTGAGCCGTGCTTTCTCCTCCTTATCCTCCTCCTCCTCCTCCTCCTCATCCTTCCTCTATTTTTGTTACCTTTCGTTCCTCTCCCTCTCCTCCTCCTCCTCACTTCTATCCTGCCTCCACTTTGGGGGGTTCATCCAAAGGTGAACGCCTGACAAAAAAAAAAAAAAAAAAGTATCTTTCCTCCCTCAAAAAAACTCATATATTCTCTTTATGTGTCAAAAATATTGACACCAGCCTTGACACCAGATCCCCGAGCAGCAAAGCGCTGTGTTTGCCAGTCCAGGTTTCATCATCCGTCCTTGTTTTCTTGAGAGATGGAATATGTTGTAAAGAAGGCTGCGGGTTTCAAACTTGGCTCCTTGCTGATGTTGCCCTACTTCTCTGCTGCACAGTCCTCCATATCAGGCTTTGTTGTATACTGTCTGGATGAATAAATAAAATACGGGCAGATGAGATGTTTAAACGAGTTGACGGAACAATATTCATGACTGTACTTCATTATTACTACCAGATGCTAGAATTCATTGAGAAGAACTCTTACCTTTGACGCCGTACTGACAGGTAAACAGGTACGTTAGTCTTGCGTAGTTTTCTGTGTATGAATGCAGGTGTTATTTTTAATTTTAATGATCTTTTCAGTGGGTTTGGTCAGTATCCTGCAGCTCTACTGGGCTGTGATCACTTTGTGCATCATTGCATCAGATGCCTGTCTTTGGATGGTGTTTTCTAAACATAGGAAACTTATTTGCATCAAAATGTAACGAGTAGTGTAATATAAAATATAATAATAAATTAAAGGTTAAACAATGAAAGTAAGGCTTTTATTTTACGTGTGCGTGAGATTATTGCTTTTTCTTAAACTGCGATGACAACTAGCGGCAAAGCGTTAAAATGCTGTTAACGTCTGAGAGATTTGGAAGCTCGTGCTGCTGGTAAAGCTCATGCTGCCATCTAGTGGACAAATCTGCTAATTACAGCAGGAGGATGAACACAGCAAAGAGCAGAATCTTATCAGAACAGACGAGTGTCGTGCAGAGATGTGAAGGAAAAAAACTTTAATCAAATCAAAGCTTCATGTGTCCATACTGTCAGCAGTGGCTCAGCGGTCCAGGCTTTGGCCTACAGGTCAGAAGGTCAGGGGTTCATCAGCACCTACCAACAGCACATTAGCATTGCTGCATCCTTATAGGGTGGCTGTGGCTCAGGAGGTAGATCTAATCGATCCCCTCCACAGTCCAAGCGTCCTTTGGCAAGAACCCAAAGTTGCTCCTGATGGCAGGCAGCTCCTTGCACGAATGAGAAAACACTAGAAAGCGCTTTGAGTAGCACTAATCAAAGTAGCACTAGATCATCTGCACTGGGGTCATGGGGGGCGGAGTCTATCCCAGCTGACTCAGGGTGAAGGCAGGTTCACCTGGACAGGTAACCAGTCTATCACAGGGCTACACTTAGAGACAGACAACCAAGCACACTCACATTCACACCTACGGACAATTTACAATCACCAATTAACCTCAGCATGTTTCTGGACTGTGGGAGGAAGCCGGAGAACCCGGAGAGAACCTGGAGCACCCCTTCATTCAAAATTATTATTCATCTTTGATGTTCGTCCCTGTAAAGAATAGTGTAATAGTAATGTAAGAATCTGACACAGCGAAGTGTTCACCTCACATGATGTTAAGTTGTGAACAGATCTGGTGATGTCCCAAAAAAACGTGTTGAAACAGGTCTTGGTCCAGCAGATAACTTATTTAATGGTGACGTGGAAACTACACTGGACAGATGTTGAGAGCTAGCTTTCAGTGATGTAGGAGACATTAGTTTTTATTTTAAATTAACAAATATATTATATATTTAGTTTCTGGATTGATCTGTGATGAAGAAATAGATCATATTAGAAATTTTAAAAGAGCTGATAAACTTTTATTTGGAAAACTGATTGAAAGTTAACCTTCTGAAATTATAAAGTATTAATCTAAAATCTGAAATTAAAAGCTGTTTACATTTTCTTAGGTTCTGAATTTTACAGTGAGGGAAAAGACAGAATCACAATCCCGAACAGGAAAGACATCAGGACTTCTGTGAAACAGCTCCACCTGCTGGATGCCTGTGATAACGACTAGAAAGTGTTGGACTGACATTTAGTGTTCAAGTGCGGCACATGCAGGAGAAACTGGTAAACTCAGGAATAAAGAAAAAGAAGCAGAAAGAAAACAAAGAGGAAATTAAATATGTGACAAAAACATCATAGAAACAAATAATTAGAAACTGATGCATTTATTAATCATGTCCAGGTTTACATACAAACACACTAAAGCACACATGATCATCATTCGTTATCATGAAACACGTCTCAGTGGCACCACAGCATCCAGTCTGGACCAGTCCATGTCTCCAGGTGTGTCCTGTGAGCTGCTGTCTTGTGCCTGTGAACACCCACTCTGCTGTGTTTTCTCCTCCCAGCTCCTCCTGACAGCCAGCTCCCTCTCAGCCTCCTCTGCACATGGAGCTCTGGCTGCCTGGATGTGGAGCTTCCCGTCTGGAGACAGGCAGCAGCTGACGGCTTCAGGGTCCAGCCCTTCAGGAACATCCACCTCCTGTCTGAACTCCTGGAGTCTGTAAGAGCAGGACCCGTCCCCGTCCTCCTGCTTCTTCTCCGTCTTCCCGCTGACCCTCAGCTTCCTGCCCACCTGCCTGACAGACAGCTCCTCTGGGGAGAAGCCTTGAGTGTCCAGGGTCACAGCAAAGCGCTCTCCTCCCTCTGTGTCCAGCTGGCGGGACGCCGGCTGCACGGCCACGATGCTTTGGAAAGGCTCCGTCTCCTCCAGGACGTTGTGTTGAAGTTGGTCCATCAGCTCCAGACTGCTGCTCAGCTCCTGGAGGTTTGTGTGCAGGAGATGCTGCTGGTAGACCAGAGGGTTGACCTCCGGCCACAGACTGAGTACAGGCCAGTAGAAGTCCATGGATGGAGTGAGGGCAGACTGGAATCCATGAGAGCACAGCATCTTCACTGAGTCCACTGTGGAGTCCTCTGGATGGGAGATGAAGCTCTGCTCAGGTGTGTGTTCTCGTCTGTGCTGCTTCGTGTCTCAGCAGTGGGACGGTCCCAGCTTTTATATCCCAACTGGAGGCAGTCCAGAGAGTTCAGGAAGCTTCTGGTCATTGCCACAGATCTCCACTGGGTGGAGCTGTTACTCAGAAATGATGATGTCACTGGATCGTTCCTGCACTTTCATGATCTCTCCTGTATTTGCAAGACTCCACCACTAGATGTCAGTGAAAAGCATCACTAGAATAAATTGTCAGTTAAACCAAAGAACAATAAAGTCCCACCTCTGAGAAAGTAATCCTGGTTTTCTTTGTTTAGACAAAATGCAGCAAAAACAGACTAAATAAATAAAACTATAGTAGCAGCAGTAGGAACAGTGTTGAGCAGTCACACATATGTTTCTGTTCTCGTTAGCGTTCATCAGCTCAGTAATCTTCCTGTTACACTCTTCATAGACGAATCTCCTGCAACCGCATCACTCCCAAACCGCTGTCTGCCCATTAGTACCGGGATCAATAACTGAGCACAGACAAGACTGGACTATAATACAATCAAGAGAAGAACCGCTGCACTTCCTCTGTACCTGAGACGTCAGCGTAGCTCCAAACATGCCGTTCCATATCACACACATTACACTCTGATTTCACTTTTTCATTGTAGAACGATGCAATAATATTTCAGACTGTAAATATTCACTGAAATGTGATATTTCTGCTTTGTGAGCTGCATCCGGCTTTTATTTTGACTCCATAGACATTAGAGACGTTATGGCTAAAAAAAACTGTCTCATTATTGTCTTAATTTAACTGAAACAGAAGCCGATAAACAAAATGATCACAACCAATTCAAAAACAACATCAACAGTTTGCATCTTTAACGACTGCAAAAATAGGTTTGGAATAAAAAATAAAATTCAGAGCCCTGTTTTAATGTATGTTTTATTGTCAGCAGAAGAAAATTCCAAAATCCAAAAACATAATCACCATTATATCGTCTCTGGTTAAATTAAAATCACCAACGTAGTCAATAACGGCTGAAGATCGTTAATGAGATTTGCACATGAAATAAATCTGTTCCATGATTAGGTCCATTTGGGGTTTAAATGTTCGATGAAGACACAAATACATCTAAATAGTTCTATTCACATACGTGTATGCTACCGTATATCCTTTGGGTAGTAAAATAAAACTTTTACATGAACTTGGTGCAAATACATACCTGTATTAATGAAGAGAGTACCAAGTATTTTGTAATGCTATCAAAATAAAAGTACCCTTCGAGGTAGATCAGTCTCCTCCTCTGAGTTATGTCACACATCAGAGGAAAGGTTCGTTACATGTGACCTTAACAGGGTACCGCCTGCTCGGCTTGAAGATTCAGTCGCAGTGTGTAGTTTTTTAAAAAACGATTGTGGTGGCAGCGTTCAGCCGGCACTCAGTGACTCCTATTTGGTTGGCAAATGAGCGTCAGCATGGAGCATGTCGACCCTGGAGCTGAGTCCACAGTGTCAGCATCTGCTTGGGACTCCGTCGATGAACAAGCAGAACAGATTTGTAAGCGCAGTAATTGGACCTGTCTGAATGGGGGAGATCAAACGTGAGGAAGCCCGGGTGGTGCCTCGGAGAGAGCCCCAGTCTGTGCATGCACATGCCCAGATACACATCATCAATGGGGAACAGGCGAACCCTCTCAGACACCTCTTTTAAACGCAACGCCAGCGAGCCCGAATACACCACCCCTCCTCCACCGGCGTAGGGCGGATAGGCGCCTTTGTAGAAACTCTCTGGTATGTAGTATTTGGTGGACGGCTCCCGGTTTGGCTGTGCGTTATTAATCACATCCCCAACAAACAGATCGATGTTGGTCTCATTGGTATACGGTTTCCACAGGTTGTGCTCCTCCCACTGTTTCTGCAGGTAATCCAGAAGGGCGTCCGTTCGGACAAACACATCATCATCCCCTTTGAAGACAAAGGCGGCAGTGGGGCAGTATTGCTGGAACCAGTGCCAGAACAGCAAGTCCTTTAGGGTCAGATTGAAGAACGTGTCTCTGAAGTCCCACTGCAGGATGTCCCCGTACTTCTGGTTCTCGAGCTCCAGGAGGTTTTTGAGGTCTGGGTGAGGACCTGTGCTTGAATCCTGCCTTCCGAGCAGAAACACAGTGCGCACTAGTCTGAATTTCTTATTTGAGCCTCCTCTCACCAGACCGCTGCGGCCCCACGTCTCACGGATGGCCTGCCTGTTTTCAAAGTTCCCCACTTGAGATTTGATGGCCATGAGGAGCATGGGAGAGTCCACACCAAAGCTACTGTTGCTCCTCCTGCATATCCCCGGCTGGTTGATGAGGAGGGGGTACTCCCTGCAGTGCATCGACCTGATAAAAGCCTTCATTTGGTCTGGAAAGCTGTTCAGATCATTCACACGAGGGACCGAACACTTGTGTGACATGCAGTCGGAAAGGCATTCATCCTCAACTTCTGATAAAAACTCAGCTTTAGGCTTCCTCATTATACCAGTTGTGTTTCCTCTCAGTATTGGATTGTGCTGACGGTCCCAAGCGTGCTGCAACCGGTTCCACAGCGCGCTGTCCTCCAACCGAAGGTTCCAGAAAGGGCCAAGTGGGTGAGAGGCCAGCGCTGAAGAATTAGCAGAAACCCCCGGGGCAACATAGTGGACGTTTATTTTTGGAGGCGTGTAGGAGATGGTGATGAATATGGACACCATGATGTAGATCAGAAGGTGGCCGGTCATCATACATGGAAGCAGGCACATGCAAAGCAGTCTCCCGTTGCATTTGCAGCATTTTCCCATCGCCTGCGGTGCACAAATTAGACACAAAATAGTTCATAAGAGCATATTTTCCTATAACAACAACAGCAGCAGAGGGACATTTTAAACCACTCTTCCTGTCACAGAGCACAGATCACTGCAGTGGCATCAGTCTACCTTTGAGATTTTATGGCAAACAGTGCAGTCAACCCTCTGGGGTTTGCGTCTCCTTGGTGATGGTCCAGTGAGGGTTATTATCTCTTCTTGTCTACACACTCTGAGCATCATCCTGTAGCTACCTGTCAGGAGGCTCACAGCCCCTGTAGACACACTGTGGAACATGTACTGTGCAATAAGTCCCTCTTTGTTTAGATGGAACAAACCCTTACATGTTTCTTTGCTTTTGGCTTCAGCAGAGCATTGAATTGACTTCAGGCGTCTATCTGTTTTTCACTTGCTTTCTTTCTTTCGTTCAATAGCTACATGGAAAACCCTGCCTGGCAGCCTACAGTAGGTTAACACACAAGTAGCTTAGGCAATGGATGGAAGACGGAGCGTAAAATTACTTACAAGTGAGTGAACTTTGGTTGAATAAGCCGACTGACATAAACGACCCAGTGACTCGAGGTGTCCACTTCTTGTTTTAGTGTTTTCATCCGGCCTGGTTGTCAGCTGGTTGTACTGGAGCAGGTCTGTAGTGCATCATTCAGCCTCTGTCCATCGCGGTGCATCCTAGAAGACTCTGCCAGGAGTTCTCACACAGCGCATACAAGTGCAGCTGAGTAACGAGTCCCAGGTGAGGTAACCCTGCGTGCACCGAGCATGCGCCTCTCTGGCTTCGTGACTCCACAGTGCAAGATAAGGAAAACCGCTTTGACGGGATTGGCCGAGCCTACGACTACCGTCTGTTGACACATGATCGATATCCAAGAATTAATTTCTCAGACGCAGGTTTTTATTTGCATGCATGTGCTGCAGGTGCATATTTGCATGATGTAGCCAAATGACCGGTTAAAAAGTCAGCCAACTGCAAGTTTATGGGATTTACGCACATGCACACAAACACACACGTTGAGTTGGTGACCTTTTGTAACCTAAACAACATATCTATCTGTCCGTCTGTCTATCTATCTATCTATCTATCTGTCTGTCTGTCACGTTTCCAAAACATCTATAATAAAAAACCCAAAGTATAATACAATATGTTTCAGTGATTCCATCAGAGACAAAATAAGAGTTATAGGAGTCATTAAAAACTGAAAACATGGTCTATACAAGGGTCTTTGTTCACAATTATATATCGAAATCATTTCAGTAAACACAACAAATACTGCACAAGAACAAAAAAAATATACATCTTTAAATATAGACAAAAGGCAACTGTGCTATCTATCATCTATCTAGTTCTAGTTCATCTATAGCAAAAACAGACACCTCCACCTTCACAAACCTTCAGAAACCCACTTTTCCATCAAGACCATATCAGTCAAAGTTCAGTTATCTCTGTTGTTGTCATTTCTACTGAATCAGATCCACTCAGCTTCTGTTTGAGTGATATCATCTCAAGCAAACAACAAAAACAGAAGTTTTCTGAAAATCTACAAAAATGGAGTTCTCTGTTTTTGCATATAAACTCTTAATATGTATTATATATGCATATATTAATAATATTTTCATTTCTATTATATTATTAGATGATAAATAACGATACATATTAATTCAGTGGTGTATATATATATGTAAGTGTATGTATGTATATTCAAACGTTGCTAACCTCATAGCAGTAAGGCATGCTGGACTGAAAAGACCCCAAATTTAATTATATATATATCAGTCTTTTCAGTTTCTCATCTCCTTTCTTGTGCCTTTGCGCTGTTCATTACTGCCAATCAAGCCGACTGAAATCAAACTAAAATAAAATCGATCTCAGTCGGACAGAGAGAAAGGCAGCGCTTCGCTATTATGCAATTCTGAAAGGACAATCAAGGTACCCACTGATAAACATCGCCGACATACCTTCGTATGCACCAGCGTTTGACGGACGTGACCTCCAGCCAATAGGACGCGCGTCTGGCAACAGGTTATCGGCTGAATCCCCGGAGCCGACCAATGGGAAGCGGGAGGGGGCGGGGCGTCGCGAAGTCGTCTACGTTTATGTTTTGCGCGAGGGCGATACATGTTTGGTTGAGCTTTGAATGAGGGGCCATCATCCCGGCGGCTCGGAGGTGGAAAATACAGTTTAAAGTCTGTGTGGATGCGTTTAAAATGAGCGAGCAGGCGGTTCGGACGGGCACCTGAGCGACCGGTTCGGCGCCGCTTCACCTCCCCGGCGGGTAAGTGTGCGTTTAGGCGGCGGGAGGGAAGTGATTTGGGAAGCGACAGAACACACAGCAGACCTGTTTATTTGTCTGTGGCACAAAGTAGCAGAGCTTGCTAGCGGATTTTTTCAGACTCTTTTTCCTTTTTTTTTTTTTGGAGGCGACCAGGAGGAGGAGGAGGAGGAGGAGGAGAAGGGTCTCTATCAGTCATTTGGAGACAAAAGAAAGCTGAATATTTTCACTGCGTCTCGGCAAATGACACCCAGCGATGAAAGCAACTCGCTGCTTCTTTTTGTTGTTGTGCGGCTTGTCAAAGTGTGCTGGCATCCGCTGGCTGCTCGGTAGCGTTTAGCTCCTTCTCCCAGTGTGGAGGTCTGGTGTCGGAGGAACAAGTCCCCCCAAACACTCACAAAAACACCCAACAGCGCTGCTCGTTTCCACCCCGGGAGCTGGGGCAGCATTTGCTTTGTGGTCACATTTTGTGCTCCTGGTTGGTTAACTTGCATCGAGACTTTGTGTTCACTTTGAAGGCTTTTTGTTCCCAGCAGCGAGGCTCGGTTGTTGTTTCAGGACCTTCCTTTGTGCATCCAGCAGTGGGATCATTTCTAAAAAACAGCAGCTTCTTCATGACCCCCTCCAGTAATATCAGGCTCTCTGTACCCATTCTGCTCAGACACACAATAACCACAACAAACAGCACAGCTCATTATTTTCAGGAGGGGTCTGGAAGCTGTTCATACTGTACTGTTAGTAAGCAGTTCACAGGTTAAGCCAGTGAAATTAATTCTTAGAAGGAGCTTGGACTTTCAGAGTAGCACAGGGAGGACGGTTATCCCTTCCTCTGTGCGCAGAAATCTGCATCACAGAGTGGGTTCATCTGTGTTTTTATTTAAGTCCCATTGAGTAGTGGCACTGCTGCGTTAATCTGAAAGCAAACGAGTAAATGTTTTAGGCAGAGAGAGAGAATAAATAAATGCTTTTTTAAATTGCGTTTAGTAATTTAGTGAATGTGTGCCTCCATCAGTGGACTGGAAATAGATCTGTGTGTTAAAATGATTTTTAAAGAGCTCAGAAGTGTGCTGGCCATCGATGGACGTCCAGGCTGAAGATCAGAAGTGTCTGTGAAGCCTCAGAGCTTAGCAGCTGGTTTGAACGGGTCAGCGGGTTTCACCTACGAGGTCTTAAGACCCCGCTGAATGGGGTTTAGCATCGCCCAGTTTTCCTATGAAAGGGTGAACACTGGTTTCAGTGGTAGGATTAGCACAGATATTGATGAGGATTTACCACCTCAAACATGAGTTCCTCTCATTATTAGCAAAAACACAGCTTGGACCAGCCTCTAAACTCTGAAGTAGTAGAAGTTTGAAAAGAAACCAGATCTGTGACCAAACAATGTGGCGTAAATGGGAAACGTTCACATAATGCTTACATGATGTGTGCCCTAAATAAAAACAAGTAAAAGATAAATATTTGCGATTTAACCTTTGCTGAAGTCTTCAGAAATTTAGACGACTGATTAACTTAAAATGTGATATTTATTCAGATTACACCAAAATATTGAGAGAGTCACCGTCAGGATAAATCTTGAACCCCAAAAGTGTTGCTACCGGAAAACAAAGTCTCTGTTTATAGGAACCAAACTAGTCGGAGTGGTTCTGCAAGGTACACGAGCTCATTATTGTTATTGTGATCCAAAAGCAGAAGGCAGGTTTGGAGGACGGGTACTGGATCTTAAACCAAATCACTGGGTAGACGGTGTGTGTGGTGCTTTCACTGCCAGTCGGGTTGGTCCATAAGGCGCCGTATGTAGTGGGAGAGTTAACAGGCTATGATAGAAATGATAGTCATGGCTCTTGGCAAACGTCCTACATGTGTGGGCCTAATTGAAGTCATCGTTTCAGAGCAAAATGCTGTGTGCTGGATTGTTGGTCACGTTTCGTGTCTTCCTAACTGTCTGACTTTTTATGTTCAAGTGTTGACGTGTGCTTTCTCTCCCTTGTTTTTCAGGTGTCTTTGGATTTGCTGCTCTCTGCTCCCTCCGTGTGCTTCTGATACTCCTCAGGGCTCGTTAAGACCAATGCCTTAGTTCTGATTAAACGCCACCTACATAGATTGTGTTTATAACATAGGGTGTTTCCAGCAGGAATCCAGACCCCGTATCGTCTTCCCCTGTTTAAGTCGGGTTCAGAGGGGGGCATCAGAAGTCCACACAAACGAGCCACCATGTCCTCCATCCTTCCCTTCACTCCCCCTGTCGTGAAACGCCTCCTGGGATGGAAGAAGACTCCGGCAGGGAGCGGAGGAGCAGGGGGAGGGATCGGAGGAGTCGGGGAGCAGAACGGAGGAGGCCAGGAGGAGAAGTGGTGCGAAAAAGCTGTGAAAAGCCTGGTGAAGAAGCTGAAGAAGACGGGGCAGCTGGATGAGCTGGAGAAGGCCATCAGCACGCAGAACAGCAACACAAAGTGTGTCACCATACCGAGGTGAGACGAGGACAGATGCTGCCTTCCTATGTTTTGTTTATATCTCCCCCTATTGTACATGAACGCACAACTTCCTCAGCAGCTGCGTCAGTATATTAGGGTCAAACTCACACATGTTTCTGGATGTAGCACACGCACATAAACACACGTGTATACTCACACAAACAGCAGGTTTATCAAGTAAGACAACCAAATGTGTTAAACTTGAGAGTCTAGAATAGCAAATTTGCCACGTTGCTGTTTGATGGATGATAATAAACTATCAAAAGTCAGCAAGTAGTTGATTGTTTTAGCACCGACACACTTCTACATAAAAAGAAAAGGAACGTCCACACTCGGCCTGCGCTGGTACGCCACAATACCACTAATCATACGAGCACTTGGAGGTGTATCAGCACATGAAAGTGAGAAAAAAAAAAAGGTGATGAGCCCCCACATGCTTGCCGAAAGAAAAGCCTGCGTTGTGCAACGGCGGGTCCACTTCCCCGTTGTTTTTTGGTTAGCGGGGCAGCAGAAGTGAAACCCGATTGAAGGAAACAGATGTCCGACTAAACTCGTATTCATTGAACTATGTGCAGAAAGCTCGACCGTGCGTTCACACTGTGTGCAGAGTTGATGGTTTGCGGTCTGTGGCACCTGTGCAGTCATGAATCACTACGCCGTGTCCCATTCATGTTTAATCGAGCTTTATTCCCGCCCGTATAAAGGCTTTAATTACAATAAATTAAATGACTTCAGAGTGTGCCGCAAACTCTGTTTTTTATTCAAATAGTTTAATCTGCATCGTGCGGGCTCTTCTCCACATTAGGTTGGTTTTCACACAGTAGTTTTAAATGTTCTTCAGTATAAGAAACACCTACTTCTTTGTGTGGAAAACGACAAAAGGAATTAGTGCCAGAAACGTGGCGTTCTGTTGGTCCTGGACTTGGGCGCACACACCTTCCCACTTCATCACAGAAACTGTTTTATAAATGATGAAGAGGTTGTGCACTGCTACAAACAAAAACAAAACATGGAAGCCGGAGACCCGAGACAAAGCAGTGGATGAAATAACGAACCCAAGCATTAATCAGCGTGAGCACAGTGCGATGCATGAAGAATATATCACTGAACAGGACGTGTCATTTCACAAACGAACTGCAGACTTTCTGAAACCTGCCTGTACTGTACACACTCAGTCCAAACAGTGGCTGTCATGTGTCTGGGTGTAGCTGCAGCGCGGTCCCATGTGTCGCATGATTAGGTGCACAAGTCAAGTCACCAGATCAGGTGAAACATTATCTCGACAAAGTGGCAAAGTCAGAGGAGGCCTTCGAGCAGCATGTGATTAACGTCAATCAATCCATTGAGGATCGGCACAAAGGAGAGATAACTCGGCTGCTCTTTGAAGATTTTATGACCTTCCCTTCTCAGATATTCAATGCAATGGACTCTTTCTCTCCTTTCAGTCTCTCTTTTTGTTTCCCGTTAATTGCAAAGTGTAAATAATATACATGGTGTCTGCAGAGAGTCTGGTAGTTCTCGTGCCGTGCTTAACAACCAGCCCACGTGGACCGGTGCCACTCCTGATCACCTGCATGCTTCTCGGGTTAATTTTTGACAGATGAGATTGGGGGGGTAAAAAAAGGAAATCAAGATCTCATTTACATCTGACGTTGCAGTGTGATCCAGGTAAAGCCGGTGTGCATGTTGGCTCGGCAGTCTGGTATTGTGCGTGGATTTACAGCATCGTATTGACCTAGTTTTCTTTGCTAAACCTGCGAGAAGCTGGTGAGGTGACAAGAAAAACAAACACGGCAGGTGCAGGGTTGGCAGATGTGGCGCTAATGTGCTGTTTGCTCTTCCTTCATCGTGGAAAGGTTCTGCGTCTAGTAATATTAGAGGATGCTGATGTCTGTTGGTGGGCGGATACGTTCTCAGTAATGCACTCTGTTCAGATTTCTGGCTGACACCAGACAGATGTAATCACATTGCAGTCTTAATGCATGTTGTGTAGATGTACACCTCGCATGGATACGCCGCATAATACAATTTACTGTAAAGTTTTGTAGAATTGAACCGGTGTCGAGTCGGGTCAGCTCGGTTCAGGGGAGCAGCACAATAGAGGAGCTTGTAGTGCTCGTGTGTGGGTGTTTTGTAAATACAGCATAAAGCAGGGCAGCGCCAGAGGTTACGTGAAAGCTCCAGTGACTAATTGAAGGTTAACGTATGGTGGTTTCTAAAAGGAGAACATATATGTGGTTAAACGGTATATCTGCAACTGGCTTGATTGTTGAGGAAGTAGTAGGAGGAGAGATGAGACATCAGGAGAGGTTCTGTACATGTTAGACATGCAGCTAGAAGGGGGGCAGGAGTAGATCCATGTGATGCCAGAGCCCTCTCTGTTTCTACACTCTGAGGAATGTGGGCCAGATAGGAGCTTCTGAAGTGGTGCTGATAAGGTCACGGTGCTTCTTCCAGACATTTACTCCAACAATGCTCCTGCTCCTGGTCTGAGGAGTCGCAGGAAGTGAGGATGTTTTATGTTCTCTCTTTCAGCTCCACCATGAGTCACATCTGGACCAGTTTGTGTGGTGAATGCACAGATAGTTTAACATAGCCAACTGAGGGCTGTTTGATCATGATAAAAAGCACATATTTTTCTACTAAGTGAGACAGGTGACCTATCCCATGTTCATCATCTGGCAACAGTGGAGTTAATGAGTTTAAATGGAGGCATTGCCAAGTGAGTTTTTCACAACCATAAATTTTGTGGATTGATCATGTGTTGGCTAAAATAGCTGCACATTAGGGGCAGTGCTGTCACGAAGGAGCGGCTGTATTACTTGAACATACGTAGTAGTTCTCAGCAGATAGCATTTCAGGCTTTACATGCACCGCTGACTTACCTCTGAACACGAGGACGTAAGGCTGATACAGTGTGAGATAAACTGCTCTGGTCCTGTAGTCGTGTGTTTTGGTGGGTGGAGGATGTCAGAGGGCTGTCAGGGGGATGGTGGGGTGATGGCAGGTGTTGGGCTTTGGAGACTCCTGTTTGAGTGGAGGTAGGAGATGACTGCAACATCTCAGATATGATGATGGAAATCTGAGTGACCTCAGAAAGGGACAAAGGTGTGATGTGATCAGCTTCAGGTGGCGTTCTGCAAATCGTACAGTTGAAGTGACAAGCAGAGCGCTCTGAATCCCAGTGCTAGCTCTCATTCAGTGATTTATAAGCAAGTAGGACAAAGAGCCAGAGTCAAACACTGTAGTGATTCTATTCTTGACCTTTAAGTGAGAAAGGAAGAAGGCAAACCTTATCTGTGTCTGCAGATAGAATACTTAGAGGCTGCAGCTGAAGAACTCCACTGATAAGTGTCGAGATAGAAAGTCTTGTACAGACAGGCATGGCAATTACTTTGTTCTGATCAGACAGAACAACCTCCTCCTCTCCTCTCCTCTCCTCTCCTCTCCTCTCCTCT